CTCTTAGATGTTTTCCAGTTAAGGAGCCAGTCCCATGTCTGGCAAGCAAATCAGATCTGCATATTGTGCTTGTTATTTTTTGACAGTGGTTGAAGATGAATTTATAAAACAGTAGAAGCCTGTGGATTATTACTCTCACTTTACAACAGCTGTGTTAATTCACATAGAAACATTTTTTGCAGTTAAAATTAGTGTTCGTGCTATACCCCGTGAAATCAGTAGGATTTCTGCTACTGTTTTCTGAACATGTAGCAGCATGTATGAAAAATAAATGCCTGTTCAAAACAAATATATTACAACCTTGTCTTAGTGTCATGTCACACCATCTCTCTTTTTTATAATGCAGTAAGAAAGTGAGGAAAGGTAAGTTTATGGCTTCTAGGTCAAAACTCTGAGAAAGTTTTTTCACAAACAAGCTGCTTTATGGAAAAGAAGCTCAATTTGTTTTTATTCCATTTTCCATTAAAACATATCCCCATTGTCATGCAGTTGTATCATTCATTTGGAAGAAAACCCTCCAGAGTTAGTTTCAAACTGAATTTTCTTTCCAACTAATATAAGAGTCCATGCCCAGGACACTCTCTGCGGCCAAATGATTGTGAAAGTTGAAAAACTGCTGCTCATACCAGAACGCTGTACTGATGGTTGCTTTGGATTTTCTAGTTGCATGAACATGCAGCCTATTTGGTCGACAGTTTGTGGGAGAGCTCTCAAGAACTGTTGAAAGACTGGGAATGTATGACAGAATTGCTCTTGGAGGAACCAGTCCAAGGCGAAGAAGGTATTTGTTTAACCTCTATACTTTATTGATATCACACAATATTGTTGATTATTCCTTAAAAAGGTGTTTCACTGTGGGTGATAGAGGTGTTTATGTTGTGGTTTGTTTAGAAAGCATATTTGAAGAAGATTTTAGTTTAATCCATTTTTAATGCACTTTGCTTCAAAAGCAGCATTTTTGTACTCTCGTTTTCATCCTGTGAAGTCTGCTGTGCTGTGGTTCCCTAATATTAAAGGCTATGACTTCTTCTTGTCTGAATGTTTAAATAACTAGTGTATACATGAACATTTCAATAAATTAAGTAGCTAATACAATTTTGAATAAAGAAGCACTTCAAGTGGTGTTAAAAGTGGGGCTTTTCCAGAGAATGTTAAAACCTAATGAATTCTCAAGAGGAAAAAAAATAAGGGAATTCTTTCACCATTATTTTCGAATCTCCTTTGGCTAATAGTAGATCTGTGTGCACAAGGTAGCCAGGGAAGTTGGTGGCAAAGAGTCCCTAACATTAGTGAGTGTCATTCAAGATCCTTTATAATACTTCAGGATTCTCCTGCTTCAGGGACCTTCGCAGGGGTTAGGTGGTTGAAAAACCAATGTACTCTTACTGCTTCCTTGTATGGTGTGCTGATCAACTCAGTGTTTCAAAATCTGACTTTTTGGTATCCACCTGCTACAATTGTGGTATTTGTGTGGTAATTTCCTTAGGAAATTAGGCACTTTGGTTCTTTGTTTCTGCATAGCCTAGTGGGGTTTGATCCTCTAGATGTGACCAGAAGTACTTCCCAAAGAACAAAAATAATACTTCATGACAGTGAGAATATTTTTTAAGGAAGTGACAGTGAACAGTCAGTCGCTCTCTGTCCTCCATGATGCTCTTTATTTTGTAGATCTTTGTTATATTCCCCTTCATTCATCCTTTTTCCAGACTACATTTCTCTGAACTTTTTTCAGTTCTGTCATAACCATTTTGAGATGATGTGAATGGTAATTCAAAGAGCAAGCAAGAAAGCCTTGGTTTTATAAATGGGACAAAATTACATTGTCTCTGTTGTCCTCTGTTCCCTGTGTTTTACAACTGCGTTCACAGTTTTGTCTTCTTTAAGATGTCTTGCACACACATCAGAACTGATGTTGCTTGTTCTTTTCCCTCCATAGCAATGTCTGACCGGCAGGAGAGTGCTCTTATTGAGTTGATGGTGTGTACAATCAGACAAGCTGCTGAAGCACATCCTCCAGTAGGCAGAGGCACTGGCAAGAGAGTAAGTGGTACTGCAAATAGGTAGCTCGGACTTGTGTGTGTTACTACAGTAACATAAAATATTTTTCTACAATACTACATTTTGATGCTTTTTTTATAATTGGTGTTTCCTGTTTCATGTGAACATTTTTGAAGAAAAATAGTAAAAATTTAATTTCTGGACATGTATGGGTTTTTGTTTGTTTGTTTCATTTTGACTTTTGCTTTGCCGAGTTAAGTAATATAAATTTACAGCACAAAAATCTTTCTTTATTATTTTTTTAGACATTCTCATTATCATACCCCTGACTTACACTTGTAATGTACCTACATCTACAGCCCTTAATGCTAAGTCTAGATTAGAATTGGAAGTGTAGAGCTCAGGAGCAGAACAAGATTACCTCTGACTATATTCCATAAAAAGGAATGTGCTGCTCATACAGACGTAAAATTTGCAGACAAAGTCAACAGTATCTTAATCATGAGAGTAGTTAAGCGCTGGAACAGAAGCTGAGAGTTTGTACAGTTTCCATCGTTGGCAGTTTTCAAGACCTGACTGCACTGAGCACCCCGGTCTGACCTCTGAGCTGGCTCTGCTTTGAGCAGGAGGGGTGGGACTGGGACCAACCTGAATGAATCTGTGGTTTCATGTATCTATCGTCTTTGGTCTCTTCCACTGAGTGCCCTAAAAATTTAAGAATTTGTCATTCTGGCCGTATTGCAATCTAGCTGCCTCTATCACTTATTTTGTAGTGACTGTTTGGGGGTCAGTGGAATTCCATGCCTAAGGCTGGGCATGCACTTTTAAGCATTTCAGTATAAGTTACAAGGTCGGGGTGATCAACAGGCTTTCAGCTGTATTCTCCATAAATATAGCATCCATGTTGCAAAAGAGTCTCAGCTTCCCAAACGTATTTCCCTGATTTTTGGTAGTCCTCCTCTTATTTAGGTTAGACTAAAAAGAAATAAACCCATGTGAACATTTGGTACTTCTGTTAGGTTCTGCTCTGAATAATCATAACGAGTTTATTAAAGAAAGTCACAGACTTAGTTAAGGTGAAATCTGGAGATAGACTCAGCATTCTTTGTTGCTAAACTAAATGCAGTTACTTAGCTGCTTAATTTTTATGTGCCAGAAGCAGATTAGCCTCATGTCCAGAAATAGCATCCCAGGAAAAGCTCCAAGAAACCATGAATTTAAACGTGCTTTATGTACCTTAATTTATAAAGCATATTCTAAGAAATTCCTAATTTATTAAAGCATTTCAGGGGTGAGGGGGGAATCTATGAAAGCACTTACTCAAATTTACACAACCATGTATTATCCTGTGTTAGCAGGATTGTAAGCAGATCTTAACTGTGTTTTGTCTCTAGCTGCAAACCGGTCTAGTAGACAAAGCAACCTTTAAATTTCACAAAAGTTTGATGTTTGTATTTTCTGTTTGGAGCACTAAATAATGTCACTATTAGCTTTCCGGGTATTTTTTCTGTCTCAAGAGATCTACAGTTCAGTTCACTTAAGTTCAGCAAATTGCTTAGTCTTAGATTTTCAATGCCTGTATTTCTTCAAAGCTAAAGAAAACACTTCAGTAAAATAAATTTCACCTTCTGAAGGATGATCAAAAGAGCCTCAAGATCATCCTAGGGATCCAGATGAATTACTAGCACCACTGAATAGCAGTATTTGGTCACCAGAATATGACTGGGTTGTAGCGGGTGGGAGCCTGACTTGCTAGCTGCATTTGTGTTGCCTTCTGGTGAGCTAGTGCCTTTTGCTGGCGCAGGTGATGCCGCACGGCGAGTTGGTACAGGAATTGCGGTTGCTGCTGTATGTATCCAGCTGTCTGCCATGTACTATGGAAGAGGTTTCTTACCCTGGTTACAAATCTATTCCCTTTCACTTCCATGGTTGTTTTTGATTTCTGCTGACGCAATAGGCTACCTGTCATCCAAGCACATGTTTTGTTTCTAGCTGTTCCTCCTCACTTAGAGAGATGTAGGTATGACATTTAGCTTTTGCTTCTTTTCAGTTAGATCATGAGTTGTGGGATGGTAACTGCAGGGGATCTCTGACTTGTCAGTAGAGGTTTGTCATGTTCTCATGATCTCGCTAGCATATTCTCTGAGTTGAAATGGGAGCAGATTTCTAATTATGCGCTCACCTTGTGAAATAGTTTCTTCTCTGACTTTAGCTTGTAACCCTTATTGTGCAGTCTGGCGGCTTTGCTATACATAAATCATTAGCTAACTTGAGTATTTTATTGTCATTATTTGTTTTCAAAAGTATTCTCTCATTTTCTGAAGCCAAGAAGCCAGATCTAAGCTTTTATGAAGCATGCTGTTTTGATTATTGTCTCTCTATTCACTGTTTCAAGGTGGTTTTGCTATGACAGCATTAGTAGCTTCAATGTATGTGTCACTGAAATTTGTAAATGAGTTCTGTGAACTTGGATGTATGTTCTCACTGAGAATTACATTCCAGTTTAGAGATGAGGCCATGAATCTGCTAATGAAAATCACTGTTACAGTGTGGTTTGGTTTTGGTTTTCTTAATTATACTTCAGTTCCCCCTGAGGTCTTACATTAACACTTTGTTTAATGCGTGAAAGCCAGAGCTCAATTCGCTGGAAGCAATAGCAAAACTTCCACTGACTTGGTTTATATTTGAATTTCAATCCTAAAAAATGTTGATGTGTTGAGACAATATCATGCTGGATGATATGATATTTTCCTTTTCAATCATGGCTTCTTAGGACACATGGTCCTTCCATTTAATCACTCTTCACTCCAAATGTGTTTGAGTTTTTTATTCCCTCCTCTTTTGATTTATTAAAAATACACTTGCATGGATTTTTGTTCATAATACAAACTTTAGAAAGAATAATGAATACTATATGCAGAAATTGTATTTACTTTAGTTATTTTTGATCACTTGCAGGTCTTGACAGCAAAAGAAAGAAAAACTCAGATAGATGACAGAAATAAATTGACTGAGCATTTCATTATTGCACTTCCTATGTTGCTATCAAAGGTACATTTTTGAACAAAATAAACTTCTCACTGGTATTTAGAACTGTCTTTAAACTTTTTCATTCTGTAGTGTAGGTGTTTGTTTTTACTTAACTATTTTTTTGTTTTGTTTCAATGATGTTCTAGTATTCTGCTGATGCTGAGAAGGTTGCAAATCTCCTGCAAATCCCTCAGTATTTTGATCTGGAAATCTATAGCACGGGCAGAATGGAAAAGGTATAGTACATTGGGCAAGAAGTCTGGTTGCTTTAAAGTATCTGATTACTATTCTGGTCACACAGTACTGTGCCTTCGTTTAGCATATTAGTAATCTAACCTTGATTTGGTGTATTCTTTGAATGACTTTTTCTTTGAGTTTCATTGTTCAGGTAAGGTGAAAGCTGAACTTCTTTTCTGATCTACAGCATCTGGATGCCTTATTGAAACAGATTAAGTTTGTTGTGGAAAAGCATGTGGAATCAGATGTTCTCGAAGCCTGCAGCAAAACCTACAGCATACTCTGTAGTGAAGAATATACAATCCAGAACAGAGTTGACATAGCACACAGCCAACTTATTGATGAATTTGTGGATCGATTCAACCATTCTGTAGAGGATCTGCTGCAGGAGGTTTGTTTTCTTAAAATGAATTTAGTTAGACTACCTAAAATATGCTATGATAAACTGCAGAAAAACATTCTTACCAAGTCATGACATTATCCATTTGAAGGTGTAGTGCAGCAGCAACTATTTCATAATTATTTGGAGCTATTTCTCTATGTAGAAAATCCCTTGGACTAGCCATTAAGCCTGCAAAGCATTGATGCTGTAAAACAAAGACCACAGCACAATCCTGCTTCTGAAAATTTAGTCTAGTATTTAAACAGTCCATATAAGAAATTAAATGGATGAATGGGTGAAAGCTCATGAAAAATGCAGAGAAAGGTGCATTTACATTAATGCTTGTGGTGATTCCAGTACTCCCAAATGGATATGCAGGCAGCAGAATCAAGATTGGATTGTGTCTTGAATGGAAGAGAAGATTTAGTAAGATATTTATAACGGCATATTGAAAGAGCTCTGGAAAGAATGAAATAAAGATACAGGTCTGAAACCTGGAGATACCTGGGATTTACTTGTAAGGATTTATCCTTCAAAATGCATAAGACAGAATACATTATATAAGAATAGAAACCTTACTCATTTTTTCTCTTTACATCAATTTAACTTTGTGTAGCACTACTTAATTTGTTGTAATTCTCATGCTTTTTAAACATAACTTAAGGGCTGCATAGATCTTTTTCTTCACTTCTAGTCATGCACTGCACTGTGGCAGATACATTTAATTTTTGATGTACATTTATAGAAAGTTAAGCTACAGTCTCTATTTTAGAATTGCGTATTAAATAAAATAAGCTTTTTTCTATCTTTAAGTAATATGCCACATACAGGCATATTATATATATGGCTTGTCACATTGCAGAGTAAATAAAAATTTGTCTGTTGCTGTAGGAATGTACATGAGTAAAAAAGGCAGTGCACCCCGAAGCAGGCACTCCACAACCCAGAGGAGTTAGTGTGCCACTGTACATTCTTTGACAGAATACATTTACTTTGCTGTCTACCTGTCTGGCATTTTATATGTGCTTTCTCAGAAACTTCTGAGCAGAACCTGAGAAGACATTCCAGAATTTGTGCTACATCTCTGCCCATTTGTGTGTGGCAAGGGAGTCCTTTCAGCTAATGCCACATTACACATCTTAGCCGCCTGTTTCAATAGCCATGGATTTTTGAAGTTCCTCATGTCTGGCCAACAGGACCAAAAACTCCGAGACAAAAACCTTGCGGAATCTGTTGCTGACTTGGGTAGCAAAAAGGGCTAAAGTTGGACTGCCAGCACAAAGATCCAGCTTCAGAACCGGTCGAGTTCTCCACACGATATGCCCAGCAGCTGATCACCATAAATAGTGGCCTTTGCTCTTTCCATTGGTACCCACTGACGGTGGTTTAGGAACTCTGGTGACATCGTCACAATTTCACTATCCACACGTCCAACACCAAGGTTCAGTCTGGCTCTATATGCAGGGTCAAATCTCCTATGTTGTTTTTCCAGACCTGGCTCCTGGAGAATCTTCAGCTTATATCTCCACAGCCAAGCTCAGATCAGCAAAAAGCATCTCATTCACACTGTCTTGCCTCGAGATGGAAGAAAGTGCCTATGGGTTTTTTCAAGAGTCAGAGCAAGAAGCAAGTGGAATCCCAGTTCTTTGACACTGACTTGCCATTTCTGTTATACTGCCTTGTCGTAAGATGTTATGAAAACGTCTCCTTTCAGCTTTTTCTCATAGTTTTATCTTGGAACTTCTCCAAAGCAAATGCTGTGTGTGTTCTCTCTGGAGACAGTCATGTAACAGCCAGTGTAACAAACAGAAATTAGGTCTGTCTGAGGACGTGTAGCTTTTTTTGGAAGAGCCTCCTTGAGGTTTCCACACTGTTCAGCTGCATAGATGTTACTCATCTGCGGATCAGATTCAGAGGTGGCATTTTGTTCCCTGGATAGTTTCACCCAAGAAAAGATCTGCTCTCCATTTTATTGGTGCTGGTGAGACACCCACAAATAATTTTTTCAACCATAATCCTGAACTCTGTTAGCAAATACAGGAACACTTAGATTCCTCCTGCTGTACAGCAGCTGCTCGTTCTCTGACTTACCCATTCTTCTCCACACAGCAGCTTTGAAGGGGAGTCAAGACAATAACCAGTCCTCTAGTTCCATCAGCTCCTTTTCTGTCATCCACATACCCTTCTGGAAGCCAGCAGTCCAGTTAGTGTTGAGTTTGGTTTACTATAGCATCAAGTCCTCTTATTCTTTGATTCTGTGATCTGAGGAGATCCAGTGCTGTCCTTCCCTTTGCTACCTCGCAGTCCCTAGCTGTGTATTTTCAGAAGCCCTTCTTAGGGAGCCCTCTTCCACAGGCAGTGTGGTCTCTGGGCCTCAAAGAAACACACGCCAACACTACAAGCAGTAAAGATGAAAGGAGATTGGAAATCTACCTCTCTTCCACCCCCAGCCCGCATTTCAGGTCAGTTATGCCAGCAAGGCATCTAGGTCCAGCTGTTTTAGACTAGGGATACATGAATGTTGAGAGAGTTCAGAAAACACATTCCATATTTTAGGTGCACTGTACAGGTCTGCAGTCCTGTCCTCTCCCTTTCTGACACTGCTTGAAAGATTCCTCCAGCCTCACCTTTTACCCAGGGGGAATTGGGGGAAGGCAGCGAGATGCTAGGATTCGTAAACTGCTTCCCACCAGTTTTCTCAGGAGAAATGAACTAGGGGAGAAAAACATTTTCCTGCAACTTTCCTTTATTACTAACTGCTGTTGAATGAGGAAGCCAGTAACTGCTTATTCCCACTCCAATTCCCCTTCACTTCTCTTTGCAGGCGGCTTCTCTTTATGCAGTACTCCAGTGCGAAAAGCCCTAAAGGATGCACTGAGACTACTGGGCATAGAACAAAGACCAGGCTCCTGAAGGAACATGGGCCAGTGATACCAAAATACTTCTGATGTATCCCCTTCCTTCACTCATCTTGGGAAGGAGTAGAGAAATGCAAGCAAGAGCTTATGATCTTTGTGTATATTCACTTGCATGAGAGAGGGATGAGGACTGAGGATTTCGGAGAAAAGCTGTGTCTGAACGTCATATGAGAAATGAAGAATTAAGTTTTAGATCCCTAAGGAAAAGGGAGTGTGGAGGTCAGACATGTGACACAGAGAAAGATGTGGAGACAAAACCAAGACACAAGTAGGAGAAAGCAAGAAAGACAACAGCGGTAGCAAGGATTTAAAATTTTGGCCTTTGTGATATTCTTTGCTGGGTGATCCTTGGTAGAAGAATTAATTTTAATAGGTCTATTTCATCATTTTAAAGAGATTTTAAATTTTAAAATGTACATACTTGTACCCAAGCAAGTACCCCGCTGCTTTATGGCTTCCCACTAGGTTGATAATGAGAGAAACATTGATTGACAATTGCATCTCAAGGCAGGAAAATGTTTTAATTGTTAGGCTTTTAGATGGAAAGAAATTGATCAAAATGAAATGGAGAAGAATTGTTCTAAGTGAGTTTCCTGTTTCAGAAAGTTGCTGGAAAAATTAAGTTTTGGAAGTACCTTATTTCCACTTGTTTCACTAAGAGAATTTGCTGTTCAGTTTGCATAAAATATTAGGATAATGATATTTTAAAATGCCAGAAAGAAAAAATCAGACTTAAATGAAAAGTTTTGATTGAATTGTGCAATATTTATTCTTGGACTGTTATTTCCCCAGATTTGTAAAATCTAAATTTAAAAAAAAAAAACCAAACAACTTCCATCCAATTCTGAATGTATGTCAGTCTGTACACATAATGTGATTGTCATGCATTACAGTGTGTAACACCATGAACAGCAATGAAGGATATGAAAAGAAAGAATTTTTCCCACTGATCATTTTAAAAAACTTGCTGTTGACATCTGCAGGTTTCTGGCGTGGAGCAAGGCAAGCATTTGGCTTTATTCTTGTAGCATGTTCAATCAGCTGATGGTTAAACTGCAGTTCAGTACTTTTTGTAAAATAAGGTAGAACTCAGGTTTTATTCTTGGGAATGATTTCTACTGCTACGGGATACTGGTTTGAGTATTAATACAGTGATACTGCTGAATATTGTCAGATGATCTTGCTTATTTCCTAGTACTATGCAGTGGTTATTTAAATGTTATTATTATGGAATCTAGATAAAAGTCATTGGGAAATTTGGAGTCAGTTTAGGTGTCAGCATAAACCCTGAAAGGAATCTGCTTCTCCCCATGCAGTGATGTACTCTGCTGGATTGCTGAACTCTCTTAATGGATTTCCTTTCATTTTCAGGGAGAAGAAGCTGATGATGATGACATATACAATGTGCTCTCCACATTAAAGAGGTTAACCTCTTTTCACAAGTAGGTGATTTTTTTCCCTCAAAAATTTACTGTTAATTTTATCATTTCAGCAAGTGTCAGTTGATGTCTACTGTTAAGAAATGAGAAAATATATGGCCTGAAATACAAAATCGAGATTGATGAATGATTAGTGGCATTTGTCAGTATAACTGTTTGGATTAATTTGAGTCCTTGCTTAGTTAATGCCATTACTTTTACAGATTTGATTTGGCATACCATCCCTTACACTAAATGCTTTTACACCTATGAGTGCTTTATTAGAAGTCATACTCCCCTGCACGACAGACAGTCAATGCACAAGGGATGCTTGTTATTTCCGGCACCAGTGGATGCAAGCCAAATCTTTGCTTTGAGCCTCAGCTTAGGACAGCCTTGGAGGAAGTTGTTTCTCTCAGTTTCTCAATGCCTTTGAGGTATTTCTCCTCAAAATTATGGAAATAAGTAGTAGTAATAATAATAATGATAATTAATAGTTTATGATGAGAGTCTGGAAGATGCGTTCTCTTCCTGCAGAAATGCCAGGAATAGTTTCTCATTGAATTGTTGGCAAAGTCTTAACTGTGTGGATTGCACAGAAACTCCTTCACAAAGCATGAACCAGCACAGTGGAACCAGGCTGCAGCTTTTCAGGGTCTTGCTGCTCTCAGTTAGACCTACAGGCACTCTCATAACTTGTAGAGCAGCCTGGAAAGTTTCACTTGAACTGTGAATTTTGGAGCATAGCACAAAGACCTAAGCTTCCCCTCCTATCAACTGCAGGAAGTAATTGCTCCTGGTCAGCATGTAAGAAAGCTTCATATGCAAATGGCTGAGAGCCACAAATCATTTCTTCCTTATCACAAGATGTGAGAGGACCTTGCTTCTGCCACCTCTTTTATAGTAATTGTTTTTAGTGGTTTCATTTCTCTTTTCTTTCTGTGCTTAGTCTTCACTTATCCTGAATTTTGCACTGGATTGTTGTATGAAATGGTTCTGCAATATCTACTCTTTGTTTCCATTCAACAAGAGTCCCACCGAGATCGTTAAATCATTACTAATTTCCGTAGTGCAGCAGGCTGACACATGTGCAAATTAGGTTTTCAGTCTCCCTGGTAACATGCTGGAGCCACTTCTGCCTTTCCTGAGAGGACTGGTGAAAGCTGTAGTTCACATTCAAGAAGGTAGCACAAATCTTAAGGCTTTTCTGAGAGTCTCCAATATATATTTTTTTCCTGTAGTGTTCCAAAACTCAAGAGAGTTAATTCAGACTATAAAGAAAGCTTTGTAGAATTACACACAAATCAGGGTTGGGGACATCTACTTTCACCTTCAAAAAAGAGAAAGAGAAAAGAAGCAAATCTAAAGAGCTGAAGAACAGCTGTGTATCATTTCTCAGCTGATGTGTTATTTATTATTATAGTTCAATGGGAATTTCTAATTAATATCTGCTTGCATATAAAGAAGTAATGAAATCTTTTCATTACTCTACTGATTGTTATGTCTGATTTGATTTCTTTGTGAAAGGAAACAATGATACCATCCGAGACAGAATTTTTGCCGAACCTTTATCTATGAGATGAGGATCTTCAATACAAAACTCACATCGAGCGTTCTCATCTCAAAGAATGGTGGCTGTTGTCTGATACTGTCATTGTCTGTCATCAACTGGGAGCCAAAAGAAATTAAATCAATGGAAGAAGTTGAAATTGCAGGCTAGCAACTGATACCTTTCACATCTTCTAAAAGTGCACTGATAAAGTAGCTGCTGAGGCTTCAAAAAGAAACAAGTCCCTCTCTTCCTCCAGTGAGAGAAATTCCACTCTACCTTATCTGCACTTGTGTTTTCTTGGTAGTTGCTGTTACTTCATATTCTAGGACAAAGAAGCCCAGCAAGTTGAAAAAAAACATGGTAGGGGATTATCAGAAAAGCCTTCCAGACCAAAAAGCTTCTATACTGAGATTTCCCAAGCCTGAGCTAATCCTCTTTCTGAGAGGCTCATGGCAACAAAAGGCTCACAGCACGCTTTTTAATTCATGTCTTTTCATCAAACAAGGATATCAATATTCCAATTCAAATGAAATTCATCATTACAATGTTTCCTTCCAAGTTTTCAGAACAGAATAATAAATTTTCTTGAGGTCTTCTGAATAGAATACCTGGAGTATGTACTTGGGCTTCTTTTTTGCCAGGATCTCACTGATATTTCTAGCAGTTTTTTCAGTTAAGTACATGGAGACAATTTTTCTATACTGACTCCAGCACAAGTGCAAGGTCCTGCACCTGGGTTGGGGCAATCCCCGGTATCAATACAGGCTAGGGGATGGAGGGATTGAGTGCAGCCCTGCCGAGAATGACTTGGTGGTACTGATAGACGAAAAGCTGGACATGAGCCAGCAATGTGCTCTCGCAGCCCAGAAAGCCAACCGTATCCTGGGCTACATCAAAAGAAGTGTGGCCAGCAGGTCGAGGGAGGTGATTCTGCCCCTCTACTCTGCTCTGGTGAGACCCCACCTGCAGTACTGCGTCCAGCTCTGAGGTCCTCAGTACAAGAAGGACATGGACCTGTTGGAGAGGTCCAGAGGAGGGCCACAAAAAATGATCAGAGAGATGGAACACCTCTGCTATGAGGAAAGGCTGAAAGAGCTGGGGTTGTTCAGCCTGGAGAAGAGAAGGCTCCAGGGAGACCTTACTGCAGCTTTTCAATACTTAAAGGGGGCTTATAAGAAAGATGGGGACAGACTTTTTAGCAAGGCCAATAGCGATAGGACAAGGGGTAATGATTTTAAACTAAAAGAGGGGAGATTCAGAGTAGATATAAGGAAGAAATTTTTTACGATGAGGGTGGTGAAATACTGGAACGGGTTGCCCAGAGAGGTGGTAGATGCCCCATCCTTGGAAACATTCAAGGTCAGGCTGGATGGGGCTCTGAGCAACCTGATCTAGTTGTAGATGTCCCTGCCAATTGCAGAGGGGATGGACTAGATGACCTTTAAAGGTCCCTTCCATCCCAAAGCATTCTATGATTCTATGAAATTCAGCTGAGCTTTCACACATAACACATCAGTGCTGTAGCAGTTTGTACCCTGCAAAATATCAGCATTTCACGAAGCTGGTGAAGGGTCTAGAGCACAAGTCTTATGAGGAGCAGCTGAGGGAATGGGGGTGGTTTAGCTTGGAGAAAAGGAGGCTGAGGGGAGACCTTATCACTCTCTACAACTACCTGAAAGGAGGTTGTAGCGAAGTGGGCGTCGGTCTCTTCTCCCTAGTAACAAGTGATAGGACGAGAGGAAATGGCCCCAAGTTGCACCAGGAGGTGTTTAAGTTGGATATTAGGAAAAATTTCTTCACTGAAACGGTAGTCAGGCACAGGAACAGGCTGCCCAGGGAAGTGGTTGAGTCCCCACCCCTGGAGGTGTTTAAAAGACGGGTAGATGTGGTGCTTAGGGACATTGTTTAGTGGTGGACTTGGCAGTGCTAGGTGAACAGTTGGACTTGATGATCTTAAAGGTCTTTTCCAACCTAAACAATTCTGTGGTTCTATGATTCTTATTTAATTACTTCAGTTAATTCAAGTGCAGGACTTTCATGTGCAAGACACATGAATCTCAAGCATCACCTCCATTGCTCTGGATGTGCCCTTTGATGCTGTCTTGTATATAGAATATTGTTTAACATTTAGAAATCAGGATTGTTGGTATCACTGTCCAGTAGTCCTCAAATATGATACTGACTTCATAAGCCTGCTGTGGCTATAGTAGCTCTCCAGATACGCATCATGTTTTTATCAGTATAAGCGTGATCAGTCAGGACATTTCCAGACCAGCGTATCTTCTCTTCCTATTATAGAAACCCTTTGCTTAACCTTTTCTCCAGTAGTTGACCAGTATATCCTTCAGACTAAGTTACTCAGAAGTTTGTTATATCCAGAAGAAGTAGAAATGATGATAAATGAAACCTCAGTAGAGAAATTAGACTGTATCTAGCATAGCTGTTCAAAGCCCAAGGTACAACTTCTCTCATTTTGTGCTGCTTTAAAAAGAGAAGCAGTTTCGTGGGTGGAGAGATCACCTCTTCTAAAAGGAATTTTTCTAAGCTGCTTCTTTCCACACTTTCAGAAACTCTGTGGAACTGGTACCATTACTTCATCTGACTGCTTTCTGGCAGAAACATGCCCCAGCAGGGATGAAAAGAAACCTTTGATGAAATGTTGGGTCTTGTTTTCTTTAATCCATGAAGACTCTCTGACATGGAAGGGACTAAGGGAAAGTTCTGTGTTGTGTGAATTTTCATTCTAGGAACCTCTATGTCAATCTCAACCTCTGTGGAGAATTGTGTTATGTCCAAGGTACCTTTATAACTGTCATTTTCATAGAATCACAGAATAGTATGGGTTGGAAGGGACCTTTAAAGGTCATCTAGTCCAGCCCCCCTGCAATGAGCAGGGACATCTTCAACTAGACCGGGTTGCTCAGAGCCCCATCCAGCCTGACCTTGAATGTTTCTAGGGATGGGGCATCTACCACCTCTCTGGGCAACCCGTTCCAGTATTTCACCACCCTCATCGTAAAAAATTTCTTTCTTATATCTACTCTGAATCTACCTTCTTTTAGTTTAAAATCATTACCCCTTGTCCTATCACAACAGGCCCTGCTAGAAAGTCTGTCCCCATCTTTCTTATAAGCCCCCTTTAAGTATTGAAAAGCTGCAGTAAGGTCTCCCCGCAGCCTTCTCTTCTCCAGGCTGAACAACCCCAGGTCTTTCAGCCTTTCCTCATAGCAGAGGTGTTCCATCCCTCTGATCATTTTTGTGGCCCTCCTCTGGACCTGCTCCAACAGGTCCATGTTTTTCCTGTGCTGAGGGCTCCAGAGCTGGACACAGTACTCCAAGTGGGGTCTCACCAGAGCAGAGTAGAGGGGCAGAGGATTTTGATTGTTAAGTAGTTCAAAAGAGATACAGGTGTACCAGAATATGCATAAATTTAATGTGGAGGCTCTTCTTTAAGGAAGTTTATATTGAAAAGCCCTATCCAACTTGTATATAGTTAGAATTTTTCAGATCCGGAAGCTGAAAAGCTCTTCCTGAGATCAGCTCTAAGGCCAGGCTCAGAGCAAAGAGCTGAGGTGTGCCCAGCTGTCAAGGCAACGGTACGTGCCCCCTGTGATGGCTGCCTGACATGGAGAGCTCTAAAATGAAAAGTCGGAAATGAGACAGTTTTTCCTTTCGTATTCTCTATAGGATAATCTATGCTGATATCTGCCTCTGCACACCAAGGAGATTTTACTGCTTTAATTACAGCACTGTAATTAAGGAGGTACAACTCAGCCTTGCTAGCAACCCTGTGATTTGCTGAAGCAGCATCTATGTGCTTAATATTACTAGTCAGAGGCAGTTTTCTGACAGCCTATAATTTATGAAACATTTTATTTCCATACTTTGAAGAGTATTTCCATACTTTGGAGAGCGTCCAGAATCTAAGGCAGGGGGAGTATTTTTAAATTTTTGTTTCCTTTTTTTTAAGTTTTCCTATTGTTGTATTCATGGATTTGAATTAGAAGTTAAGATGCAACTTGGCTTAATGACACAACCCTAGAGTGCATACTTCACTTGCTCTCAGCACAAGGGCATTAATTGTTATTTTTTTCTGTGAAACTTTTATCAGTGGGGTTTTCCAGGGCTAATACACTCCAGACTGGGAAGCATTTCATACTAGAGTTTCAACAGGATCTAGGCATTCTAGTTTCAACAGGATCTAAGCATTTCATACTAGAGTTTCAACAGGATCTAGGCATTTCAACAGGATCTAGGCAAAACCTCTGTCCATTTCTACTAGAGAAATATTCTTTCTGGCTGAGCAGGGTAGTTAATTATTTAAACAAATTTGGGTAGCTCCAAAGCAGGGCAGAGCAAAGGGGTGGGAAAACTGAGCATATCTTGGTGATCAAGGTGCTGGGATGAGAGGGAGCCAGATGCAAGAGACTGCTTTCTTTAATTTAGACTTGCCAATTCAGTCTGAGTATCCCTTCTTCCAGGTAAGTATTTTAATCACCAAATTTCTGATTATTCTGAGGTGGCTTGCTCTTTGATAAAAATATTATGAATTGCTTCAAATGATCTCAGTTTAATTCCACTGCAGAAAAATGTGTTAAACCTATATTTTTTTTTGAGAGAGAATTTTTGTCTTTCAGGCAGCCTGATGTTTTGTAATTTCTCCTATATTTCTCAGTTCTGTATTAGAAAAGCTACATCATATGTTGTTGAGGTCTGTAAGGCTGTAGAATATATGTTGCTAATCTCATTTGTATTATTCTCTCTGGCGAGTCAGCTTGGTACACCTGCAATGTAAAACAATGAATGAGGGGGTGGCAACCACCATCTCTGTCTCATATATACGTGTATCATGCTCTCTTACTTTAGATATTTCAGGATATTTAGTGATAATGTATATTATTTTTCTCCAAATGATATGGCAGAAAAATATGTAACTTTATTTTGCTTAAAGCCATTTTTCATTCAGTATATATGGCTAGAGTTTGGCCGTAGTTTCTGCTGCAATGCCAGAGAAGCACCTGCTGGAGTTCTATCAATGTTTAGAACCAAAGAGGAAAGATGATTTAGAGGCAACGCTGAGAAGGAGCTTGTAGCTACACTTAAGTAACCTTTAAAGATGCAGAGAGTTTATCTTCTCACTACAAAAATCCCATGTAGTAAAACATTTTTCCTCCGTTATCAGAAGGCCTAACTTCTGCTTTTAGCATGCTATGAACTAATTGTGCAGCTGCTTTGTCAGCATGCTGTATTGTCTCAGCTTTGCGAAAGTACCAAACTGCTCACTGAGCTGCCAGGTCAGACTATATTCTGTCGGTGATGTGGAGTTTTGAGGAACACTACTAATCTCTCTTTATTACCTCTCGTTCTAGTGCTCATGATCTCACAAAATGGGATCTGTTCAGTAACTGCTACAGATTACTAAGAACTGGAATTGAACATGGAGCTATGCCGGAACAGGTACAGTTAGCAACACCTGCATTGCGTCATTTCAGGACTCAAAGTTTTAAAGAGTCTAGTCGTAGAGAAATTCAAAAGATTAATGCACTAGACTTCAGTTATTTAGGAAAAATGTGGAGTTTTGAGTGAAATGTATATCATAGTGAGGCACTGTCCGGGAGGTGAAAAATCTTGGATTCTGTGATTTTTGAGCTACTTGCCTCACCTTTCTCATCTGTAAAGTAAGGAATAACTGATGTTCCTGGCTGTGAAAAGCAATGCATAAATCATGATGTTTACACTGAAACCCAACATTTGTAAACCTTGGCAGCAATTAGAATTATCACAAATTATTATTGGCCATTGAAGGTAAGGTGGAAGCTTATGAAAACCAGGAAACAAGAAGAACATTTAGCAGGGATGCTGGCCAGCCTTTCCAGTGGAGTTCTTTTAGTGGACATATTTTCAACTTTGTTTCCTCCTAGTTTGGTTTTAGTCTTCTCATGGATGAGCACAGGGACCATTCCAGATTCTCCCAGGATGCTAGTTTAAACTGCAGACTGCCTGCTCCAGTATTTCAGCACATTTTAAGTTATAATTTGATTTCAATTAGAAGCCAGTTGTTAATTCTAACCCAACTTCATTTAGAAAAAAAAAAATTCTCATTAAATTCTGTAAAAGTACTTTCTAAAAAGGACCATATGTAGGACACATTGCCACACGCCATGTGAAAGTCATGGCTTTAAGCTGTGCGACCTTCTGCTCTCTCTGCAGTTGCTACTTAATGCTGGAATTGTGCTACCTGGAAGGAAGCAGCCAGCATATAAAAACTGTCCATCCAACTACCAGCCATCTTCAGTTTCTGGGTTTGACAGTGATATGGCTCCCCAAATACTTCTGTAAGATCACAGGAAAAAAGTTCTGAAATCTGAACTCTTCTCAGTATTTATTCCCTCAGTCCACTAGGAAGAGTTTGCTGGAAAGGAATGGTTTGGTCTTTAGTGATATCTTTCAAAAAAGTATTTTGTGGAGTGATTAGAGCTGTTACAAACTTGATTTATTCTGCACAGAACCACAAACTGTTGGAAGCATCTTCGAGCCAAAAAGAGTTTGAAATTCTTAGCACCTAATATAGATTTGAAATTTTAAAAAGACACCATGGATGCTTTTATGGGCACCATAAATACAAGCCAAGTCTTCTCTGTAAGAAAATTTGTATTTTCTCACTTTTTTTTTTTTTTTAGAAATTGGGCTACATGTTCATTTGACAATGGAACAAATTTCCAGACTGTTTTCTTAGTGAAGTCAGATTTAGAAGTATTGAAATAGATGCTTTTGAACTGAGACATGTAGATGTTGGGCTGTACTTCTATCATGCTGTGACATCACCTCTTGCTGTACTCCAATGCACAGTTTTCTGTTCTGTTTCCCAGCATTTACACGGTATTTTTTTCACCTGCAGTAGGCTGGTTTCTTATTGCACCAAACTGACTAAGGAAGAACATAACATCCTTGAAAACAAAAAGTACTACCTAAGAGCTGCTCCTATTTATTCTCCCCCAAAATGCATTATAAATTTTACATACACTTTACTGATATGCTTGATATTTCCAATGTGCTGGGATTCTTTCTGTTCCCCCTGTTACAGATAGTTGTTCAGGCACTGCAGTGTTCCCATTACTCGATTCTCTGGCAGCTGGTGAAGATCACTGAAGGCTCCCCTTCCAAAGTAAGTAGACATTTGATCGTACAGGTTTTACTGAAGAAACACAACTTGCCTAAAAAGGCATTAGGTCTCATTCTCTGTAACTCTACCCACTGTACAGTCATCTTATGTCATTGTGAAACAGATATAAAATGTTGGTGTTTTGATTTATTCAATATTTCAAAATCTGTTCAACATCATGCATATGTCTAAATAAGCTATACAAACAGCAGAAGCTTGTCTTTATCAGGATTTGATACTAGGTGATTTTTATATTTTTATTGTTGAAGATACTTAATGCACTTTGTTGTGAGTACAGCAGTTTGCATGAATAGATAAGTAATGTTGACAATGCTTACCTAATAGTTGTAAGCAATACTGTTGATCTTTACACCACAGATAGTTCAATATTTATGCGTATTTACATTGCTTACCTTTTATGTACATCTTTTATGTTGCTAAATATAAATGTAAGGTTACTAGCAGTGATGATTACTAATAAAAAGTAAGTGCACACAGGTGTAATGCAGTAAGGACAATGTGACATGGAACTTGTTTATTATACTTAGCTTTTCCAGGACCTTTCCTTAGCTCTTTTCTCAATCAGAGGCCAACATCCTGTCTTTTTAGGGCTTTTTCAAAAGTAATACATCAAATTAAAATGGTATGAAAACTGAAATAGTACGTGTACTTCCACACCAGCATCAAAAAGAAAAAGATGCTAAAGTACTAATAAAATAAACATTTTATGCACAGAAAAATTATAAAAATACTTTGTGAATTCTTTGAGTTTTTTTGAATACTGACATATATTTACATTTAAAAATAGCTACTAGAAAAAAAGAATAATTGGGATTCTTTATTCTGGCTTTCATTCCCATTTTCCCCTCTCAGGTTCTTTAGCATGCTGTTAGTATATAATGTTACATCTTGACTCCTCATAACTGAGAAAACCGAATACATCCCATTTATTTTAAATGAACTCAGTATCTCATCACAATAAAGCATCTGAAGTCCTCCTAGCTAGCAGCATTGTTATCCTTAGGGAGAAACTTCACTTCGACAGAAGGAGCTAAGTAACTAAAAGTAAATCCAGGGGGCTGTACACTGCTTCAGCCCTTAAGTCCATAAAACCAACGCACCAAATCTCATTCTAATGCTTCCCTAGTAAGGAAAACTGGACTGCTGGTTACCTGTGTAGTGAGTGACTTGGGTATGAGAAACCAAGCACTTAGAGTAGGTGCACTTAGAGCACCTGGTCAACTGTCCAAGCCTGGACACTGTCTTCAACACCTTTATTTAATTTTTCCTCATGTACTCTTGACTATTGGGTCTTGCTAGGTGTCTTACCCACTCCTGAAGATGCCCAGCAACTCTGTCCTCCTATTTGCTGGGCCCCTTGAGCAGCAGTGCCCAGTCTTGCCTTGCTCTGGGTGCAAATGCCAAGACATAGAGCATTCGGTGAGATTCTCATTTTCCTTCAGTGCATTTCTCCATTTTTTTTAATTAAATACAGTAAATAGCTGCGGTATAACATAGATGATGCACGGTGATAGCTGTCAGCATTGCTGGAAGAAATTTTCATGTTTTCTTGTGTCTAAATTATAGCAAAAGAAACATATTTACCGTAAACTACAGCTAGCAACTAACATATACAGCATCTATCTGCATAGGACCTGGTCAGAAGCTTTGCATTTTGGTGTCAAAGTATTAACGTGGACTGTTGTTTGCAGTATTACCATGATGGTCCAGTTAAACTGAAAGAGAAAAAGACATTTATTTCAGTGACTGGGTTTTTCTTGCAGACAAGCTTAGTGCAATTGTATGGCTTTGCCTGCTTTTTCAAAATAGGATACATTTATATGAGACACTGTTTTATGAGATGAATGCAGAATAGCCTTGATCTTCCAAGTATTTCTAATACTATTCTGATTCATATCAGTCATAATGTAGTTCATAGGAATGGAAAGAACTATGAAAGCTCCATTGAGAATGACCATTCGAAGTACAAGTCAATTCTGCTTCTGGAATCCCCAGTGAAAATCATAATTAACCTAGAGCTGTTATTAACTTACTGTTTGGGGTTTCACCACACCCCCTACAAAAAAAATGAGTGTTCTGCATGCTTATTTCAAGAGGAACACTGCATTAATGCCCTTCAGCTCTTCATACCTGGCCAGCAACCTCAGCTATGCTCACAACAGAAACGGAATAAAGAGAAATCCACAAACCTGATGTTTTTGTAGCATTTTGTTCTGTGTGATTTTGTTCCATCAAACTTTCCATTGTAGTTTGTTCACTGTGAAAATAAATCTGATCTGCACTATATCTGTCATTTAATCCATTAGGAGATCATTTTGCCCATGGTTGTTTTATAAGCCGTAATTTAGGCTTATAACTTAACAGACGTTAAAGGGGATCACTTCTAAAGTATGATGTATGGGAAGAGAAGGGCATTAACATGAGCATCTCAAAATGAAAAATAGTGTTTTTCATGAGCATTTTTTAAGTATTCAGGCTTCTATGGGAAGATTTCTGACACAGTATTTTAATGTGTAGGTCTACCCAGCTTTCTAGTTTTACTTTGCTGTAGCTGTAATGATCTACGGACAGAGGGAGGTGATGGTTTGTAGGCTGAAGTGGTATCTTCAGTAGACCAATGGATATGGCTGTAAAAATTAGCGAGGCTTTTGGACATACAAGCCTTTCAGGTTTGAAATAAAAGCAGAAGATCACAAAGCAAAATACAAGCTGAGAACAATTGCTGGTTTCTGTTTAGATACAGATCAGGTAAACTGTCTCTGAAAGAAAAGGTCATTGGTACCTATAGGGGGGTGGGAGCAGGGGAAGGCGAGGTGATAAGAGTTACTAGGAGGGAAGTAGGAGCTGGATAGTGGGGAAGAGAAGGAAGAGGAAAGATGAAAAGGCTAATGGGGAGAGGGGAATTTATAATATGTCATAAAACTAATGCCGAGTCCTTGTTTTTCTGTATCCAGTAGATTTATCAATTTTTGTTCCCAGGCTCGTGTTTAGAAGATGATTTTTTAGATTTCCCTTGAGCATCCAGGCTGAGAGATCAGAGATGGAGGGATTGATTTGTAAGAAATGTTCATCTGCTGCCATCTGGGTCGTTTGTGTGAGTTCATGCTGGCAGATAGTAGCTGCTCTGTTTCACCTACTTAGTTACCGTGTAGGCATTCAATGCACAGGATAAAGTATATTAACATTTTGGAATTAAGTACAAGATTCAAGGCTGTTAATGTTTCTGTGGGAGGAAGTAGTTAATTTGGTAGTAGCGGGCATATATTGGCAAGTTTTACATTTCTTAATCGGGTATGCTCTGCATTCATTAGGTGTACATTTTATTGCAGGGAGTTTGTGGGCAGGATGGGTGGTTCTGGTAAGATTTCTTTCAAAGTGAGTTTTTCTTTGAGTAGAGCTCAAAATTGCTTAATAGTTTTGTGTATTGGTTCTAGGGTAGAGTCATACATGACAACCAGGGGTATACAATTGGGAATAGAATCTTTTTGGAATGAAGTTATTATTTTTCTGGTATTCAGATGGCTCTTCCAAAAATACAGCCTCTCTCCTAAGAGGATTGCCCTTGTTTGGAAACTCTTTTGAGCATTATGCCCAAGCCCAGGGCACATTTATTGCTTTCTGAGGGATACTTAATATTACAGCTGTAATGTTTTGGATCATGGCTGACTACATGAGGCTAGGTGTGTTGGTCTGTAGGCTTTATATGTGTGGCAGGGAAAAACTGTTTGACTCTTGTGGTTTTAAATCAAATTAGAATCAAGTCAGCTCATTGATTTATTAACAACACATGATTAACCTGCAGTCAGTGCAACACTTTTCCAGGGTAAGTGTCAGCTATACAGCAGGTAAACCAGAATACTAGACACTCTTATAATGCTAATGAACGTCTACAAATTTCAAAGTACCCTTCTGTAACTGTTCACAAATTACTTTAATCACTTCCCCAAGACACACAGGCAATTTAGAACTGCTTATGGCTTCCAGCGGAGAGGATGTGCCACTGGTCACAATGTTGGGGTGTCTGACTTGGTTTTAATGCTGCTTGGTTTAAATGCTGCTCTGTTCCACCTCAAGATTCCTCTCCATGATCACACCTTTTCATGCTGCTTTTATGCTTCTTTTCAAGGTGACTCCTCCTTTTCTCAAAAGTTTCATGGTAATCTCCTGGTTACTGTTTAATCTGGTCATTTTAAGCAAATTCATCCTAGAGTTTAAGGAAGTGATATCAGCATAAAAATGTTTCAAAGACATTTTAATATAAGAATGATAATTACTGATTATTTGAATTAGTAAGAAAGTCCAAATTATCTGCCCAACAATAAAGATTCCACCAGTTATCTTAAATACAGCATAGAGTTGGGTCAGGGTTAGTTTAAAACTCTTTTTCAAGGTGGCCAGTGGAAAAAAAAGGGCATACAGTGAAGTCAGTGTCTAAGATCTGAAAGGAAAAAAATTATTACTAAATGGAAGGTTGCAGCAGGTAAGAATGAAATGTGTAGGCCATAGTCTAATGCTCTAATCTTTGGTTGTCATCTTGTACGTGTTCAGAGATGCTTGAGTCCATGACTGTGTGGGCTGTCAGTAAGCAGACTAGTGGTAAGCAACACAGTATTGGGGGAAGTGGTTTATACTGTGTAGTTTGTGGGAGCAATCTGTTTTAGCCTAGAGAAAAACTGTTCTTCATGTGAAAAGGAGTTTGAGGATGGTTTCAAAGGAAGCTGGTAATTTCTCAGCAGGAGTTCTCTTGTCCATAGAGCTCGGGGAGCAAGTCTTGAGGTAGGAGACTTGGGGATTAGATTATACAGTTGTTTCCATCTAAATTTCTTCATGTATTCAATAAACCAGGTGCCTGGGACCATTATACTATGCATTGTATGTGTAAGTAATGAAAAGGAAATATTTGCAGAATAGAGTCCAAAATCTTAGAACAGTAAAAGAAAAAAAGCATGAATAGAGCAAACATTCAGAGGCAAGACAAAGGCAAAAAGTTTTGAATGAGCAGCAGCCAGACTAGCCAAATGCATAGCTATTACAAAGTGATTAGTAGGCAGAGGAATTAGTAGAGAGGATTTAAAGAGGGATTTAAAGAACAACGTAGTGACTTGGTGACTTTTCATACTTATATGGGCACAATGAAAGAAAGCACAAAATGCTGAAGGGAAGAAAAGAGTCACAAGTTGCGAAAGGTTGGATTGTGTTCCACAGTCGAGTTGAAAGCTAATGGCTCTTGAACATTGTAAAGTTTATGAAAGACTTGCATTTGCAAGGAGAAGGAAGTTAATACTGCAAATAAGTAATTTAGAGGAAAGGCAATGGGAAAACAGGAAGAAAAGCATTAGGTTTGTTAGACGATCCTGGCGAAAGCACAGCATTTCTACATTTCTACTTCAATGGAAAAAACAAGCTTCAATTTAAAGCTAGAAAATAGCTGAAGAATTTTAGATAGCAGTCTCATGAAGATGGTTGTTCGGTTACAGGTGGCGGCAAAGCCAATACGAGTCCTTGCTCTTAGCAGCTCATTCTTGTTCCTGGCATGGACTAGTTAAATTTGAAGACATTACACTGTACAGTTCAAGAAAGGGTTATTTTTATCCTGGGTCACTTTAGTGATTCAGTTCACAGTGTGACCCCATGGTTTTAGCCTAGCAACCAAGAGGACAGTAAAATTTTTTATACCAGTTTTTCTGCTGAAGCCAGTATATCAGGTAATCACACCTCAAGAGCCTTGGGTTTGTGCCTGAGAATGGTAAAAGTCTTCAAAATCTAACTCATTTTTTTTAATTCCTGTTTTGTCTTTTAAAAAAAAATTACCACTCTCTAGTAATCCGGGGATTTCTCCAAATTTAGAAAAGTTCCAGATGGCTCTGTTGCACTGTTCAGTCGAGCTTTCTTTTGCTGTCTGTAACTTTTCAAAATGCATCTTTGTCGTGCTATCAAGAGAGAGGACAATAAATAATGTGTACCTAAGTGTTACTCATTCTTTGGCAGAAAGAAAAGTGGGAGACGTGCTCGTTCACTTTTTAACCTTTATATAGGATTTTTCATAGGTTTTAGTATCTCTGTTGAATTCATTATCATCTAAATGGAAGATAATTGTGATAGAAAGTAGGAAGTTATTAAAGTGATTGTAATCCAATGTTTAAAGCTGTAAATCACATTATTATGTAACAGTGAACTGATAAGCCTGGCATCAGTCCTAGGTAAAATCTTGGACTGGCTGATAGAAAACACAGTCAGTTCAAGGCTGAAGGGCAGAACAAACACGGCCAACAGATAAGACCAGAAGGAACAAATAAATTTGTTCTTGAGAAGATTGCATATTTGACTGATAAGGAAACCAGCTGAAATACCAGTTTCTGTAAGACATTAGTATCACATTGCATTTCAGGTGAATATGTGAATTTAATGTAATTCATATTCAGTAGCTCAAAGCTGATTAATGTATTAGAAAAAAACTGTAAGTGGGAAATCATCACACAAGGGGATAGCTTCTGATGCATTCCAGGAGAATCGTTCTCTGCTAAAAACTGATATTTTTTACCACTCATGAGGGAAAGTAAAGCGAAGGTATTTAAAATGTGGATGACATATATGAATTGGTAAAAAAAATACAATTAAAAAAAGAAAGAGGCATATTAATGCTGCCAAATGGAAGGCTTATACCTGGGAACAGGAAGGGTGATGAGTGGAAACTTGTGACTTAGAATAGAGCAGAGCTGTCTTACAGATCATGTAATGGCAGTGTAGTGCAGTGGCACAAAGGGATCCTTGGCTATATTATCAAAGAAAAATTTGTTAGGAATAGGAAGGTGAGGTAGCTCATAGACCTTCAGTGTCCATATCAGAAAATCACACTCAATCTATTGAAAATTACAAGACATTTAGGAACACTTGGGGTGCTTTGGCACGCTTGCAGACCTGCCTTCTGTTGTAAACCAGTACAGGAAGAACATAAGGACCACAAAAAGGCTTTTCAGTAAACAAAGAATAACAAGATCTTACGATAGGAAGCAATAAGAAAAGCTAAAAGTAGAAATGAGACACATGGACTGAACAGCCAGCATAATTAAAAACTGGAATTTTTAGCAAGGAAAATATTGCATGTACACTATGTAGATTCTTTAGATTTAGGTTGGATGTTGTTCTGTAGGGCACGTTGTCTTCCATCTGAAAGCTAATAGAGGTATCATGGAGGAAAGTCTGCAGCAGCAGTAGGCCAGCAGTCTCGGTGTGAATTAATGGCTGTTTTGATCCCTTCTTTACGTGAAACCAGGGATGGTGAAAACTGGGAAGGGAAAGATCTTTCAAGCAGTGGTGCCAGGTGTATATGAAGACATGCTGTCGTCTGTGGGGCCCTGGCAGAACTGCTGGTGGCCGGGAGGAGATCTGAGTGCTGGGAGACACAGCAGACAGGGCAGATTTGTATCACTTGAGCAATGCAGAGCAGCAGAATCTATGAATCAGTGCTGACAAAGCTAGTCCTTTTCGCAAAACTTGAAGCTAACACGAAGTCCTAGTGATTTCTGGTTCTTGTTTTCTTCTTGGTGTTTGGTTTATCACTACTGTAAAACAGAGTAACTAAGTATGTGCCAAGAAGCCCTGTACATCCTCAGTACATTTCTTGGTTACAATAGAGGCAAGTCTTAGCTTTTCACATAGGAGGGTTCTTTTACTTCTGTAATTGATGTGCCATTTCCATGTCACTACTTGCTGTATTCTTATGATTATGCTCCAGTATCATATGTTTTGTTTTGATTTGTTTTCACTAGTTTATTTTGTTATCTGTAAAAAATAAGTATTCATCAGGGTACAGCATTAATTCCCCCAGGTCAAAGCATACAGCTTTCCTATTGAACCTGCCACTTCTGGTACCCACATTTAAAATACACATCAGTTGTCTCTAGATCGAGGTGATCAAGAAAAGTCATTCATTTATCTTTTCCACCCACAAATTCTTCTTTCTCCAGATCAACAAACCTCCCTCCTTCTTCTGTAACTCATCAGATTTCTGTGATTTGCTTTCACATTTCCCATGTCTGTGGGCAGTTAGGATAATGTTTTTGTTGAACTTGAGACATTCGTCAGTATTTTACTTTTTCATTCATGTTGATTTATCTGAGTACAGAATTCTTTATAAACCACCAGGTAGGTTGACCTTGATGTATTAAACTTTTTGTTCTGAAGCATTTATAATTTACATTCAATGTAAAATACAGACAATTTAACTTAGGAATGTATTGTTTTATTATTTATTACAGGGAAACTTGGGGTCATTGCTCTGAAAATTAATGACTTTGTTTTACTCTGTGCTCTATGAATAGCATGTTTTTTACAGCCTTTTTTGTTTGGCTAGTTTATAGGATTGAATGTATGAAATTATCACCATCTTTTTATTTTGCTTTTTCCTAGCAACCTTTTATTAATATTTATATATTATCCCTTTTTAATGTTTATTCTAGGAAGACTTGTTGGTACTGAGGAAAACTGTGAAATCCTTTCTGGCTGTCTGCCAGCAATGTCTATCAAATGTCAACACTCCAGTCAAAGAACAGGTAAAGGAAATGTCTGTCACATGCTTTTAGAAAAGTGTGAATACTAAACTGTAGTAAAACTCAAGACGATACTATATCAAACTTCAAGTAAAATCATCTGTGCCTTCTGTCTAAATATAACTGAACAAACATTCCATAAGAAGAGCTGTATTAAAAGCACCTTCAAAGCACAGCTAATGTCAAATTCATTTTTGTTATAACAATAAGGATTACCTGGATGCTTAGGCTCATGTTCAGTTGTTATAACTTTAGGCATCTAACTCAATCACCTAAAATAAAAGCCTATTCCTTTAGGCACTTACTGTATTAACAGATGGAAATAGGCACTTCTAGAGAGCGATTGAGATCTCAAATGGGCTGAATCTTTCTCTGTATATCTCTGGATATTTTCCACCTGTTATTGACTAATAGGGAGTTCAGAGTGACTGCTTTCCTGCCAAAGGCAAATGCCTGAAGCCTTGGTGATATTTCAGTATTTCGCTATCCTAATAATTCAGTTAAATGTAGTGCTGAATACTAATTATTGTATCTCTTTCTCATTGTGGCTAATGGGAGAAAATTGAGGCTTCTAGCAGTACAGGTCATACTACTGCATATTTTCTAGCAGAAAAAAAGTTAATTCATTTTACAAAAATACTCTGAATAACACTAAGAATGTAGTGTCCTCTCACACTGTGCAAAAATCATCACTTCACAAATAGTTATGTCTCCTTGAGAAATCAGAGTAAAATACCTATTTAAACAGTGTCTTCATTATAGAAGAATAAAGATATGGAGGGTTTTTTAGATTCTCATCAATATAATCATTACAGCTTAGGTTGTTGTGCTTCCCTGTTTGGTAGGCTGACTGAAAACTTAAGTGCAATCATCTCTCTGCATGTGTATGTGTGTGCACACATATGCCAAAAGTCTATATGTGAAATATGATTGCATAATAAGGTATTAGATTTTTTTTTATGTTCAATGTAGTTATCCAATTCTCTTTGTTAGATTTTTGGAAAGCCCGCATGCATAGAGTGGGAAGCTTCTGCTATATGTATTTAGAAATTGAAATGAAATCCAAGGGCTTGTTGAAATAATTCGCAGTCTCTGGAAGAAAAAATAATAGCTGGTTTGTTTGCTGAGATTTTATGAATATATGCTGATTTATATCAAGTCTGTTGACATCTTTTAGTTGTCTACAAATCGCATTTCTATCAGACCTCCCAAGATTTTGCAAAGACTCTTAACTAACTGGCCTGTGGTTTTTGCCTGTGTTTTTTAAAAGGTAATACTTCTTAAAAGGCAGTTTTATTTTTTTGGAAGATAGCTCTGCTTGGCATTTACACTGTGTTCTGCAAGTTGATAAATGTAAATATTAAAGGCTTGGAGATGTCACTAGTTTATGTATTTTTAAAAGGCTCTGATGTGTCATTGTCTTCCAGCAGATTTAACTTTAGTAATTGTTTTATAATATTCTGAGTAGTTACTCTTGGCATACTTTATTAATATTATATAATGTGAAAATATCATCTAGCTGCATGAAAATACCAACCATTCTAGCTGAAGCTAGCACTAATGTCTTTCCTGCATCAACAAATGGTTAATGATCCTTCCCATTACTGCAGTGTTTTTATTCTTGATATATCTTAACATGTTTTTATTCTCTTATTATTAGTGGCCACTATTTCTTTTTCTTGATAATTTAAACTTTTCTTAGAAGCTCCTTTGCTGTTCACAGTTCTGTGGAAGCTTTCAAACCTCAGCTAGACAAAGGCGTGACCAACCAGACCTAGAGACAGCAAGTGTCCCAACCAGAACAGGTTGGACTAGAGACTCCAGAGGTCCCTTCCAACTACCACTTTTATGATCTTTTCAGTTTTCTTCCTTAAAAAAATGTATTTTTGCAAGTGCAGGACTGCTTCTTTATCCTTCTGTTTTATTGGATTTTTTTTTGAGAATTCTGTGTAAATTATATTGTCTCCCTATCATATTTGATTTTAAGCTATACTTTCTTTCCAGAGAAGATCAATGTACATATCAAAGGAAGGAAAAACATATTAAGTATTTATAGAAATGGGACTCAAACATTTCAAATTTTCTTAGACTATTTGAGTGAAATAAAGCTCCTGTGACTAGACGTATCTACAATATGTAGACATCTGTATCTGAGTCCACTGCTGTCTTTATATTGGACAGAAATAAGCACTTTCAGTGCATTATTCATATGCTCTTTTTTAGAGGTCTGCATTAGGTTGAGCTAAGTTCTAGTGAGTATCAAATGAGTTTAGAGCAGCTGAGATCATCACTGAAACGAATCATGACTTTTTGGATCCAGTGGAGAAAAATCCCAAATACTGGCATCTGTCTCCAATGTCTAAGTAGAACATAGTTTACATTTGCATTTTGTTCTTGCCTCAGTATAGCTCGTTCAGATTTTATAACATACTCCAAGAAATAAGTGAGCTGCTATGATGTTCAGCGTTCACAAAAATTTCATTTTGGAGGTTTGTAAAGCAGATTCCTCTCACTCACTACTTTTCCTTCATCTCGGTTCAAAACGATGTTTAAACACACATTTAACTACCTCTCCGTTCAGCTGTTTGTAGAGGGGGAATATAGGGCTGAATCAAAGCCTACATTGGATTTCATGAATCTGTCAGAGCTATTCTGCAATCTCTCTTCAGCTGAAAATGCCTTTGGCCTACCACCTGCCTGGGAATGGGGACTGACACTGCCCTGAGTGAGACTCCTGCAGGCTTCTGGGGACAGAGACAGCACATCCAGCATAGACCTTCTGGGAGTCTTTTTACACATTCATACTTTGAACCTTCCTCTCTTTCTCGGTTTTCAGAACCTGAGGTTAAAGATGGAGAAACTAAGATGATTAGAAAGTACTTTCTGAAAGGTGCTCAGGTGTTGAATGTAATGCGGATGAATACAGCTGGCTATGACACTCTGACATAAGCCATTGGGGAAAATAGTGTTATTCTCCTGCATGAGAGTATACAGTTAAGCCCTTGAAAGAAATAAAGTTATTAATAGCTGCCTTCTTTCTCTGTTCTCAGGTAGCGAAAATATAATAGTAATGAGTATAAATCATTGAAAATTCTGCCCTGGTTGGCTTTTATCTAGATTTGAAAGCTGTGCAGAGTTACTTGATTCTTTTTGCAGAGAATTGTTGATGAAATTCTGCAAGGATTTCTTTGCTTTCAGCTGCTTCTCTGTATTTTTGGGATCTGACAGTGACTCAGTTTGGATTTTCCCTCATAATGTTATTCATTTTTTTACTTGTTTAACTTTTCTAACTGTTTATCAAAAGAGGTGTTTATTCTTCACTACAAATTTGGCTACAGTCCTTGCATCAGAGGTAGATTTAGAGTTCTTTTCATAGAGAAGAAATGGAAGTTAAATATGGATCATCCTGGACATGGAAGAGGTAGTAAACACAGTTCGTTACATAGAAATCAAAGGTATAACATTTTAAAGTTAGGGGAAACCCTCATGAACACTTTTCATAGCACACAAACAACTACAGCTGAGTACAGTTAAAGAAGGACATTTAATAATAGCAGGGGATATCTGGAAATTAGATAAATGGTATTTTATTTTTTACTTAATTATGCTTCTTACTGCATTCATTCTCTTTTGTCTTTCAGGCTTTCATGCTGCTCTGTGATCTCTTGATGATTTTTAGTCATCAGCTGATGACTGGAGGTCGAGAAGGTCTTCAACCTTTGGTGTTTAATCCGGATTCAGGCCTTCAGTCAGAACTTCTCAGTTTCGTGATGGACCATGTCTTTATTGACCAAGATGATGAAAACCAGAGCATGGGTATGTTTAGCTTTCATGTTTTCTACTTATCTTTTTTTCATAACAGACAGAAGAAAGAAGAGAATAGAATTTTCAGATCAGTTTGCTCAAATGTTTTCAGAAGGCAAACCTTACCAGCAAAGTGCTAGGCAAAGAAGGCCTTAAGAAACTCTGATGTTACTAAATAAAGACCCTTCTGCTCCTTCCCCCCAAAAAATCAAATCAAGCTCAGGACATCATTGATTTGGTTGGAGACTAGGAAAGTACTTGGGAAAGTATTGTGTATGCTTGCTTGCTTCCTTGCTCTTTCCTAGGCATCTGCATGTGGCCACACACTTTGAGAGGCCGCAGTTTGAGGTGACCCCATCTCTACCTCCTCACAAAGATGACTTGAAATTTTTGGCTTTCAGTCAGGGAGCGGCAGATTTGTCTAAGGTCTCGGAGAATGTATTCTTGCTCTGAAGGTGCTTTCAGTCTTCTAGGTCCCTAGATCCTCAGTAGGTAACATCTTTCTTTGTTGAGCATCTCTTTAAGGATTCCTGGGAAGAATACATTTTGAAACACACCTTCACCAGAAATCTATAAATCTATGTGCAGTTAATCATACTTTGTGAGTTCAGTGTTCAGAATAATACATCAAGGATAGATTTTAGGAGTGTGTCTAATTTTTTTTTGCTCTTTAGCAAAATTGCTGTTCTTTAACATCCTGTGATTGGACTGGGAAGACAGCAAAAAGATGGATGAAGATCTTTGTATGTAATCTCCATTCCCTAATGCTGCTCTGACTCCATGAAGTCAGTCTGACCATTTATAACTTTTGGTATTCAGAACACATCAGTAATAATAAAAAGAAATTAAGAAGGGGGGGAGGGGGAGCATGCTAATGGGCTTCAATTCTGTGGGTTAAAGCACCTCAGGATTAAAATGTGCTTGAATATTCACAGTCAACTCCACTGCTCGTAAGAGATTTCCTGTGATCAAATACATGACTTAAGTACTGTGGCTCTGTGGGGACTCTGGTAAGAGTGCAGCAAGAGTGTCACAGTTGACACTATATTCCTCCTCCCCTCTGCACAGGTCTGTACTTCTTCAAACTAGTTGGAAGATTCCCTCCAAGAATAAGCTCTTCTAAATACCACAGAATATTTACTTTTATCGCAACTGTTGTAGCTGGTTTCATTTCCTTATATAAGTTGTGGAATATGCTTTTATTATATGATATTCTATTTCACATTTTCATTCACAGAGTGGAGTCTTACATGGGGACTTAATAGTTATGGCATTGCCATTCTATGTTAATGTTTCTTACAACTGAATTTTACTTCCTATTGTTATTGATGCTTTAGAGCCATTGATTTCATATCTGAAAATCCAAAGCGTGCAGTAGAAGTATTGGTGCTTCTAATTTTCCTCATGTGAAATATTTATAGCTTAGTCATGTTAAAGAAGCATCTCCAAACATTTCAGAAGTTAGGCAAAAAGCCATCAACAAGTCTTCACTGTGGCCTTTCACAGGGTAAAGAAAATAAGCGATTCAGTTCCATGTGGATTATGTTTAGTACCTATTCAGGACTACAGCATCCTTGGTCAGTGGCCTGTCATGTTCCTGAACTTTCCTAAAGGTCCTAACATAGGCAGGACTCAAGAATTATCACCTTTCATTTTAGCTTCTCCTGCAACAATCCTTGCTTCATTTTAAAGAATTGATTTTTTCTAAAAGCTACTCTTCAATAATGTTGCTTTAGAACATAGCAGTTACTTATAAACATTTTATTGTTGTTGATGCTTTCAGAGGGAGATGAAGAAGATGAAGCTAACAAAATAGAAGCTTTACATAAGAGAAGAAACCTTTTGGCTGCCTTTAGCAAGCTGATAATTTATGACATTGTGGACATGCATGCAGCAGCAGATATCTTCAAACACTATATGAAGGTACAGCTCTGTGTATTCTCCTCTTCCTAACTGAACACAAATTGTAGTGTCAGGCCCCCTCTTCCTCTCCCTTCCAGTGCAGTAGTTAAAGGTTGAACACTTTTGAAAGCTTTTCCAGCCTTATTTGATTTCCAGTAATAGTTCTTCCTTTCCAAATTACACCTGCCACTGAGAAGCACTAAGCTCTGAACTTCCTCTCCTATGTAGCAGGAGTGCCTTATTAAAGGCAGCACCAAAAGCTGGTCCTACAAGGTGCTCAGTATTTCCAGAGAGGCTCCTCTCTACAGAAAATTTCTTATCCTGCTCCTCAAATTCATTTCTAGAACCCACAATAACAGCTGCCTGTTCAATGTCATATTGGACTGGGAGTCTCCCAATCTTGGTACTTGCCATAAGAAAGCAGTTTTTTTGGTGAGAAAAGATTGTTTTAAACAGGAAAGCAGTAAAAAAAAAAGCTCTATATGGTACTGCTGTAAGTGGGTATGCATTAACTGAATGTCTTACCAACTTACGCTGCTTCCATACAGTATTTATATGTATACATATGAAATTCAAAAAGACTTGCTGCTCATCTACCACTGCACCCTGTACTTGTGAGTTTACCTGCCAGAAAACAGGCATGTTAGCAGTCCTGACACTGCCAAGCAACACAAAGCCCCTCAGATTATATCAAATTGCCAGGTATACCTCACCTCTCTCTCTGTAAGGGATTAGTCATCACAAAGATGACAATAAAGGAGGAGAACCTGGAGTGAGGAGCAGGTCCTTTACTATAGATAGTGTTTGAGATGTTGATGTGAAATATAAAGGATTTAACTTTAAATCCTCCTTCTTCTGTTCGTTAGGAGCATGCAGGGCAATCAAATCCCCAGTGCACACTCTAGCCATCAGCCAGGTCACTGTTCAGGGTTAGTCCTGCTTTGGGATTTTTTTCCGGAGCAGGAGTTTCAAACTGAAGCTGTCACAATCCAGGTTAGTTTCCTACCTGCTGCTCTAGGTTGGTCTTCTCCCCTCCTTCTTCTGAAATTGAGGGAGAGTGAGAGAATTTGAATTTAAATTGGAATACAAACTAGAAGGATGTCTGTACCAAAGAAGGCAGGAGCAATATTTAAGAGGGAAAGAGGT